ATGAAGGTTCATTAAGTATGATAATACACTGCTGATGAAGCTATGAAGAAAAGGCACTTATATTGTTCATTGAAGATCAAATTAGTGTATTCTCTCTACAGGACAAATTGGCACTATCTATCTTGTTTACAAATGCACATGCTCTTTGATCTAACTATTTCATTTCTAGGAATTTGTCCCTAACATAAATCGGAAATGATGAATATATATTGCAGCATTGTTTATAATGGTAAAAGATTAGAAATCCCATAATGTTTATCAAAAGGGATGGGTTAAATAAATTATAATATAGGTATACAATAGAATACCATATAGCTGTAAAAAAATGAGGAAACTGTAAGATATGGACACTATCAAGATGTATTAAGTAACAAAAGCAAGATACAGAACAAAGTATGTAACAGGTACTATCTGTATAAAAAATGGTGATGGAGAGAGGGGGGAGGAGGGAGGAGGGGACGGGTATATGCATACACAAAGAGTGCAATGCGCACCACCCGAAGGATGGACATATTTGAAACTCAGACTTAGGTCGGGGGGGGAGCAAGGGCAACATACATAACCTAAACATCTGTACCCCCATAATATGCTGAAATAAAAAAAAATGGTGATAGGGGAAGACTACATAGGTAAGTAGGCCATTGCTTGTGTAGGCATAAGGTCTGTTTAGGTCACATTCCCTAAAAATAGACTCTGAGATGGGGATTTGTCTGCAAGTGATTTATTGAGAGAGTGCTCTCATAAGAAATCTGTATGGGAGTGAGGGAAGCAGACTAGTGCAGGGGAAGAAGCTGGGCAAAGATGTGGTTTCAGGAGAGCCTGAATGGTGCCACAGATGCCATGGAGGCAAGGGGCTTGGGCTTATACCCGCCTCAACCCTTCAATGGCCATGACAGGTAGGGGATTGGGGACACAGCAATTCTCCTGAGAAGGGTGCAGAGATGAGCCTTTAGCAGACAATGTCTGCAGTAGCTGATTGGCCTGGAAAAGGGAATCTGGGAGGGGTACCAACAGCATCTGCTACTGGATCTCTGGAAAGATTTATAAAAACTGATAACATTGATTGCCAGTTAAGAGGGAACTGGGTGGCTGGGGGACAGCAATGGGAGGAGAACTTTTCACAGTACATACCCTTTATACCTTATGAGTTTTGAACATATGAATATGATTTCTATTCAAATATACTGAATTTTTTAAAAAGAAAATCCTGTATCAAATAGTCATATTGCTTTAGTCCTAAATTTACAATAATGTGATTACAGTTCTAGTTTTGAATGCCAAATAGCTGGAAAAAGTAAAAATTATATTAATAATTTTGTTCCAATAAAAAATATTTGTTAATAAAAGTAAATCTCTGCTTTGGGGAAAAAAAAAAACACCTCTCAGAGCCTGGATATGTGACAGTTAATATTGGATACATTAAGCATAGAGGAGGAAGGGGTTTACAGGTCTTTCTTAGTAGGAAAGCCCCGGTTCTCATAATGAAGGTAGAGAGAGGAGAACAGGGAGATCCCTGAGAGGAAAGGCTCTGACTTACATTTTCCTTCATAAACAAGTGGCTGGAAGTTGTGAAGTAGGGCTTAGCTTGCCGTCTTTCTCTCCTTTCTTTTGGGCTTAGCTTGCCGTCTTTCTCTTCTTTCTTTTCTTCTCATCATAAACCTGGGACAGTGGAGCTAGATTCAAGCACACTAGATTAGCTTTGACAAGAGCTTGGCACAGCCACATTTCAAAATGAGGAATGACAATCTTAAACAGTAGGGTTTCTCATTATTTCACGTTAAATCTATACCTAGTCATTTTTTATTCTCTTTTCTGAGGAATGATAAATCTTAGATGATTTTAAAACCACAGATGAAAAGATATGAGCACAGATTATCTTTTAATGCCTATATCTGTCATTCCTCAGAATCAGTTGACAATTGCTTAATGTATTTAAATACTTTTTTTTAAGTATATTTTTTCCTTTGAAAGTGGTGAAAAGCATAATCTTCTGGAAGTTCATTTTCTTGTTAACTTTGATTTTGGGGAAATTATTGGAACAGATGAACCTAAATCCATTTGCAAACATCTGGAAGATTATAGAGTAATTTGTAAACAAGATTTTGGTAATAATTCTTCCCAGACTTGGCTAATATTTTGAGTGTGTGTGTGTATGAGAGAGGGAGAAAGATCCAATCTTTCAACCTGACAGTATTTTAAAATTTTGTTGTATGTGGTCTCATCAACAAATTTCGAAAATGTAGAGTAGGTTATTGTAGAAATAAGCAAGCCTCATGAGCACAATCCAGGTGGGCATCTCAAAAAGTGACACTGGCTAGCCCAGGAGCGCGAGGTTACAGTGAACTATGATGGCACCAACTGCACTCCAGCCTGGGCAACAGAGTAAGACCCTGTCTCTTAAAAAAAAAAATAATAATATTGGCTAGATGATTCACCCACTTATGAAGTTTAGGAATTTTCTTATTTTCTTCAGTCCTGTGCTGTCCAGCATAGCACCCAGTAGCCTTGTGTGCTATTAA